TTTGTTTTAATTATGTTTTCTAAATGTTTCTTCTTGGTGCCAGACTGAGTTGCCCAAAAGGAAGGTTACTTTTACAGCTTACTAGATGGCAGGCAGTTCTGTAGTCAGAAGATAAAACAAAGACTTTGACTAGGAGCTGTGGAGGCAGTCCAAGCTCCAAACATATCACCGCACTTTCAGTAAACAACAGTTGTTGACAATAGCCAATGCCACCCTCTGAACTGAGAACTAGAAGTTTGTTTAAAAAAAAAAGATTTCCACATTGAACATACAGTGCATTAGATGTACAGCCAACACAAGTACAAAACATGAAAACACTGCTGCCCAGTACAAGAGCAGAATGAAAGTAAGGACTAAAGCTAACTGGCATCTGCATCCCTGTGTGATATGTGAATACAAGTTGTCAGCCCCCTCTATTGGATAGAGAGCCATCAGCCATATGTCAGCACCATATGGTCTACATCAGCACCATACATCACATGTCAGTGCTATATGTCATGTCCTTGCATGGCCTGATCAACCTTAGGGGCTGTTCTCTATGCCCAAGTATGACTATGCGATAGGCGACAAGCAAGTTATACTTCTCAGCAAGTAGTCCTTATGAAATATCACTTACCTGGAAGACCTCAGTAAAAATAGAGATAGATGCCAATCTCTGACAGAGAAGTCAACTCAGCAGAGACCAAGCTGCAAAGTGCAAGTGTAAATAGGAGCCCAGCCCTGGCCAAGGGCAGAAAGACTCCAGGGGCAGGACTCCCCACTCAGAAATTTCCAGTAAAGATAAAAACAGAGAATATGGGAGAGCTGGTCTGGTACAAGAAACCAGTATTTGGAAACTGGGAGGTAACGTGCAAGGGGACACCTCACAGGCACCTAGAGATGAGTGTTGAGGTGTGGCAGGTTAAAAGAAACAGGACAAGATTTTTCTTACTGAAGGAAAGTGGAATTGCATAATGCTATGCTGGAAACAACTGGAATCTATAGTAAACTCTGCCACAAGCTGCTGAATATGAGCTCCTCTCCGTCTAATAAGAATGTGTTTCTAGCTTAATTTTGTCAGGCTTTGTGGGTGTTGTTGTATAACTGTAACCTACCTGGAGCTACTGTCTGTGGCTTTCCTGTTTTCAGCTCAGTTCTGAGAACCAGCCCAGCAGTGGTTTCATCAGTGAGTGACACCAGTGGTCACCTTGTTTAGCCGACACTCAGCCTTTCCTGGACCTTTGCCTACCCCCAGCTGCAGAACCAGGCTGCCTCATCTTTCCACTGTGTGCTTTCGTGAGTGCCAATAAAATGCAGAAAAGCAGGGCATGTTGCAGCCCCACAGTGAAACCCCTACCACGCTCCCTGGCCCGGACTGCCCCTCACCCAGAGGGGCAGATGGGCAGGCACTGTCTCAAGACACAGGGATTTCAACGCTAGCAAAGTCTTCCCTCCTGTCGCATGTGGAGGGAATAAAGACTCTGCTTGCCCCAGCGTGACCAGAAAATGAGTCAAGGTTACTGCTTGGCTCACTGCTCCCACACCTCCCTGGGGACAGGCCAAGACCAGGCTGGGACATCAACCTGTGGGTAGGCCCAGCTCAGCAGGGCCTGTGGCTGGGCAGGGCCAGGCTGAGGGGAGCTGTAGACCAACCCTGCTGCCGCCTAGGGGCGGTCAGGCCTGCTGGTGCCTTGGGGCCCGGCGGTAATGCCCTTCCACCTGCTGCATTGCCCATAAAAGAAAAAAAGATGCTGTAAATGAAGTAAGATCATTGCAGGAGATCACACACACACACAGAGCCCGATTTCTGAACTGAAATTGACTTGGTGGGTTATGGTTTCCAGACTGTCGCTCATTATTTCCCACCAGTGAGTGAGATACAGCCACCATTCACGTGAACAGAGCGAGTGAAATCTTTGCCTCCGAGAGGTTAAACACCAATTAGTTGTTACAGGGCTGCAGGGAGTGAAGTCTCCTGTGGGATGGGCTGCAGGATATCCTTGCTGTCATTGACCTTACAAAGGTAAAAGGGACGTATACGTGTTTGTAACATCCTCTGAGACCCCCAGATGAAAAGCATTAACAGCAATATATTACCC